CAGCTCGCTGCCACCGGAGCCCATGGAGATCGTGCGCAGCAAGGCTTGCTCACGCAGGGTGCGCCTCAACGTCGGGGGCCTGGCGCACGAGGTGCTGTGGCGCACTCTGGACCGCCTGCCCCGCACGCGGCTGGGCAAGCTTCGGGACTGCAACACGCATGACTCTCTGCTCCAGGTGTGCGACGACTACAGCCTTGAGGACAACGAGTACTTCTTTGACCGCCACCCGGGCGCCTTTACCTCGATTCTCAATTTCTACCGCACGGGCCGGCTGCACATGATGGAGGAGATGTGCGCGCTGAGCTTCAGCCAGGAGCTGGACTACTGGGGCATCGATGAGATCTACCTGGAGTCCTGCTGTCAGGCCCGCTACCACCAGAAGAAGGAGCAGATGAACGAGGAGCTGAAGCGTGAGGCCGAGACGCTGCGGGAGCGTGAGGGCGAGGAGTTCGACAACACGTGTTGCGCCGAGAAGAGGAAGAAACTCTGGGACCTTCTGGAGAAGCCCAACTCATCGGTGGCCGCCAAGGTGAGTTTGGGGTCTGCTCCCCCCATGGAGGCCTTCGCTGCGGCTCCAGACTCCTCATGATGAGTTCTCCAAGGACCACCATTCTTGCACCCTTCCCGTGTGTCATAAGACCCTCCCCTCTTTGGATGATTCGCTGCTGTGTGCCCCCACTTTGTTGCGGGGGCATGGTGTTTAGGACTCTAAAATGCTACAGCCGCGATGAGAGCAGAGGTGTGCTTTGCTGGGTAGAGTCTGGTGTCCTGCCCTCCAGGCCCTAAGTCCAGGCCGGAGTTGCTAGCCCTGCAGTTGTGGTATCTAGCCCCGTATTGTTACCCCACTTTGCCACCAAGGAAGGGGATAAATGCAACCTACAGGCACGTTTGGTGGAGGCTGAGGTGTGCACGGGTATTATAAGAGATGACAAAAGACAGGGAAGCCTAGTGGCAAGGACTGGCCTGCCCAAACCTTTGCTAAGGGACTGTGGGTGAGGGCCCGGCTGGCTCTTGTTTATGTACTTGCAGTGTGGTGCAGTTTCAATTGGCTGTTGGAGGAGGATGTGAATTTCCAAATGAAAGTAGAAAAGAAGCCTAGAGAAAGAGGCAGGAATGATGCAATCACACAGGGTGGGCTGTTGTGGCCTTGGGGGCCAGGAGGGCCTTGGGGTGAGGACCGGAGCAGGTGTAATTCCTCTGAGTCAGGCTGGCACCAGGGAGTGTCTGAAGGGTGAGGGCTGTCTCACGTGGCCTGCATGTTGGGTGCCAGGAGTAAATGACAGCGCAGTGTGTTCAGGCTGCATGGGAGGTTGGGAAGGGGCCCAGAAAAAGAGATGTGTGGGAATCCAGAGAGATCAAGTTCGGAAAGAGAGAAGAATGTCTCTGGGAGCAGAGACCAGGAGAGAGGACTAGAGGCGAATGACTGTTCAGACAGCCACAGTTTAGTAGTAGGGCCTGGCTCTTGGCCAGCCTGGCCTCTCAGTGTGGAGTCTTGGTGGCTCAGCTGGCCCCTCACTGGTTCCTTCTTGGAGGGGACTCTGGGGTTATTTCCAGAGAATTGACTTGCTCAAGAAGACTGCAGTAGACACAGGAAGGGCTGTCTAGTGGGATGGTATGAAGAACCCACATTCATTTTCTCTTGCCTCTGGGCTCTGAGGACGTAGAAGCCCCTGGGCTTGGTCCTCCTCCTGGCAGACTCTGACCATAATCCGTCCCCAGTTTCCGTGTCCAGAAAGCCACCCTCTAAGATGAGAGGTGCTCACCCTTAGCCGGCTTAGGATCAACAGACTTATTTTGCTATTTCTAGGCCTGACATAGGTTCCCCCACTGCTCAGCCCATTGAGTCCCAGGCAGGCCCCTCCTTCCTCACCTGCCCGTCCTTAAGACACTAGATCCAGGGGCAGGAAGTGGGGATTTGCCCTCCCCAAGAAGAAGCAGGCAAAGGACTGTGTTTGAGTTGGCATCTGGCTGCAGGGCACAGGCAGTGTGTGGGAATGAGCAGTCTCTCCTCCTTCTCCACTTAATCGGCTCACCCGGACAGCATCGTGACCTCGCTGTGATCCCAGGCTGGGCTGTTAGCTCACACTCTGGCAGTTTCTGCAGCCAGAGTTGAGATGGGAAGGCTCGCTGACTGCCTGTATAGAAACTTGACAGCCACTAAACAAATACCTAACAAATGCAAAGCTCGAAGAGGTGAAGTAATTTGCCTAAGGTCACAAAGTGCACCTCTAGAAGTGGCCACTCAAGTTTGGAACACCCTGGTTTTTTGTGGTGACTGGGGGCCACAGATGCCTTCCTAAGCTCCTTCTCTCAATTTGCTTCCCACAGCCTTTCCCCAGCAGCCCAAGGTGCAAGTCAGATTACATTATTCACCTGTTTGAAACCCACAGAGGTTTCTGTCTCATGCAGCATGAAATCCACATGCCACCATGCGTCCGAGGTCTAGACTGGTCCTCAGAGCTCTTTAGGCTCATCTTTCCTGTTCTCTTCTGGCTCATGTGGCCCTAGTCCCACAGGCTTCCTTACTGTTCCCAAAGAGACTGTGGTTTGTTCTACAGTCCTGGTTCTACCCCAGGACCTTTGCACTTACTTTCTGGCTGCTGACAATTGCTTTCCCCAGATCATTTCATAAGCCCCTTCTCTCCATGTCCCCGTTTGCTACTGTCCCAACCCAACTGTTTCCCACACTCTGTTACCTCATGCAGTATCATTCCTGCATGAGCTTTAAACACTATTTGAAATCATATTTGGTCCACATGTTTCTGTTCTACACCCACAAGGATGTATCATACACACTGCTGTGTTGCCAGCATGCATCATGGTACCTGGTTCAGAGAGCTCCGAATAACTCTATGTAGGATGGAGGGGTTTGTGGGGTATAGATGGATGTTGCAATGGATGGACAGATGGATGGATGGATGGATGGATGGATGGGTGGATGGGTGGATAATGGATAGATGTACAGATTGATGGATTGGTGGATGGATGGATGAGAAGATGGATGAGTAGACAATAGATGGTTAGGCCGATGGATGGATGGATTGGTGATGGGTTAATGGTTGCTGGATGGATGGTGTGTGCGTGGGTGGGCAGATGATGGTGGGTGTTGGTGGATGAATTTATGGATTGGTGGGGTGTATAGATTGGAGAGTGGATACATGGATGGGTCAATTGGTGGATGGATGGGTGGGTATACCAAGCAAGCAATCAGGCACTGACACCTCAGGGTCCAGCCACCAGTCAGCCACTTCTTTCTCACAACCCTCCTGTGGCTCAACTTCCTAAATCTCTGCTCTGTCACCTGCACCTGGCCCACACTATCTGACAAGCTCCAAAGCCAAGCCTGTCAGCACAATGAGGCTTGAGGTGGGGGTGGGATCCTCAGAGAACACACAGGCTGGAGGCCAAGTTTGGGATCATTTCAAGGTGCCTGTGAGGTGCAGAAACGGCCACCTCTCACATAGTATGGAGAAAGGACTGACCACAGTTGTAGGATCAGCCAGCTTCTCCCTACTCCCTGGCCTGAGGCCGTTTTTTCACCTCTCCCTTTCCCTGCCTCCCATCTGTAAAATGAAGATTGAAGGCCACTTTGCAGTGAAGTTGTGTTTGTGGCAGCTTAGTGCTCAGGGTGCTGTCGGTATCAATGCTGAGTCGCTGTGTCCTTTCTCTGGGCAGGGAGGGCCGAAATCACTTTCCTCCTGATAGCATCCTGGGGAGACTGAGCCGATGTGCTGAATAATTGATGGGCTGTTCTGCCAAGTGAGGGGCAAACCAACGCTGGGGCCCCGGATGCTCCCTCAGGGAGCGGAGAGCAAAACCCATTAGGCTGTTTGGGAGGTGGGGTCAGCTCTGTCAGGGAGCTGGCACTGGCATGGCCTCCTCTGAGGTTCTGCTCTCTGGGAGTACTCTCAGGCTTCTCTCAGTGTTGTGAGGAGAGCTAATGTGTGAGGCCAGAGTCTGCAGATTAAAGCTCCAAGACAGCTTCCAAACTGCCGGAGTGTTTATTGTGCTGGGCACAGATCAGTGGTCTCTGTAGCTGGTGTGATCCAGAAATTCCTTCTGCAGCCTTCCTGGGCAGTGGGGAGCCCATTAGAGCTTCTTTGGGTTGTAAGTGACAAAGCAGAAAACTCAAAGTAGCTTCAATGAGGAGCAAGCTGTGTGGCGGCACATCTCCCGTCATTCCAGGATTGCAGAAGTTTGGGTTGAGCTGATGGTTCAGTGATCCTACCAGGATTCTAGTGTGTGTGTGTGTGTGTGTGTGTGTGTGTGTGTGTGTGTGTGTGTGTGTGTGTGTG